GGGTGGGGGGGGTTTGCTCCATCGTGCCCGTGGCTGAGCAGGAGGGAGACACAGGGCCAGGCTCCTCTGGCCGGTCAGGCTGGTGTGCAAGCGCGCACAGGCTTGCAGCCCCTGGTGGGCACGGGACCAGGGACACACACGCTGCCTTTTCCAGATCTTCTGGGCTTCACTGGTCAGGTGGCCATGTCATCAGGGGACCGCAGTGACATTAAAGTAGCATCGCCGGGCCCCGGCACAAGGAGATCCAAACTCAGGGCTGGATGGGAGGACACCGCGTCTCTCCTGCGTGCCAGGAGCGGTGGCTGCAAGCCGGGAGTGTCCGGGTTTGCCGTCAGGTCATACCAAGCTGGTCCTCGTCACAAACCACTGTAGTTAGAGGAGATGGGGGAGATGCAGAGTGCGGGGCCACCTGTGACTGGGGGAAGGAGAACGAAAGGAGCCGATATCATGTATTTCAGATATAGAAATATATATATAAAGAGTACAGATCGACATTTATATTTTTAACTGTGCCCATTCCCTCCCTGCCGCGGGGACTCACCTGGACGCTGCTGTCACGTTGCTGTCACTTGATGGGAGAGAGGACCAGGGACTGGCCAAGGAGGGGACCCAATGCTGCCAGGGCTGGGGGCAGGAAGGAGGCACCTGCAGAGTGTAATTACACCACTAGTTTCTTGAATAGAAGCAGTTAAATTTCAAAGCCTGGTTCTGTGCCTGCTTTGTTCTGGGGGTCAGGGGTATGTTGAGAGGGGTTTGATCACGATTACTAGGGGTTTTGGAGGGGTCCCCAAAAAGCCAAGCACCTCCCATTGCTAGTGTTTGCTCCTCTCCCTTAGGGCTTAGCTGAGAACCGAACCACCAGGAACAGAGATACAAAAAAATGTGAGAGTTTAATTCTCAATCTATGCAGCAGAAAGAAATAAAATCCAGACCCATCACCTGCCCTGCTCAGAGCAGTGCCCTGCACAGGGCCTGGCTGTGGGTGCAAGAAGCACCCACGGGGATCTGAAGGGATGCTGGGGAGCAGGAGAAACCTGCATCTGGACCCAACCTGTCAAACACAGCCCAAAGAGGGTGTTTGGACTGTGGGATAAAAGTCCAGAGGCGTGACCGAACTAGGAGAATCATTTAGTTTGGAAAAGACCTCTAAGATCATCCAGTCCAACCATTACCCCAGCACTGCCAAGGCCACCACTAAACCATGTCCCTCAGCACCACAGCTACATGGCTTTGAAATCCCTCCAGGCATGGAGACTCCACCACTGTCCTGGGCAGCCTGGGCCAGGGCCTGACAGCCCTTGCCAGGAAGAAATTGTTCCCAATATTGAATTTAAACCTCCCTTGGCACAACTTGAGGCTGTTTCCTCTTGTCCTGTTGCTTGTTCCTTGGGAGAAGAGACAAACCACCTCTCACTCCAACCTCCTTTTAGTGAGTTGCAGAGAGTGAGAAGGTCTCCCCTCAGCTTCCTTTTCTCCAGGCTGAACACCCCTAGTTAATTTGATGGTGCACAACAGGCATCAGGAGAAGAAAATCAAAAGCCCAGGCTTCTCCAAACATGAGCAAGTGGGTGCTCATCCCACAGGCATCTCACAAGCTATCAGCTCTTCTAAAGCAGCTTCAGCTGGGGGTGTCAGCCTGGCCAGCCTTCCTCCACCAGGAGTTCTGAACATCAGGGGCAGGAATCACTGCCTGGAGCTATGACACTGGCAAGCTGGAGGTTACATTTAAATAAGTTGTCCAGTTCAATCTGGACAAGGTGTTCTAATGATTAAAGAAACAATTAAAAAATCCACAACTATATATTACAGTGCTTTCTATAATATACTATTATATTACATATTGTAGTGCTTTCCCTGTGCCTCGTCACCTGTGGGACTGGCATAAAAATGAGCAGAAGAAAATACTGTCATTTAAATCTCATACTATTCTACTAAATTACATTATAAGGTAAAAAGAAACCAACAGATTTATTTTTCTTAAAGCATGGCAGTTGCACTAGGGTAGAACTTTTATTAACAAGTTTTTAAAATACCATTACAAAATAGCAAGTTTTAAAAGATCTGATTCAGACCTGAAGCATGACAGGACACCGGCACAGCTGCCCCAGGCCTGAAGGGGACAACCTACAAAGCTGCTGCTGGTGTGGAATTTTCTGGGAAGTTCTTGCTTGGGGGAGGGTGTTAACACCACCCACACAAGGGCCTGGGGTACTGCTGGCTATAAGGAAACTGCACTTTTGTCACACAGCCCCTTCCAGCTTCTAAAGTGAAGCCCTTTCATGGCTGTTTTAAGCAGGGCACAGATTATTCTGCTCACTGTCCTCTTCTAGAGGTGTACTGGATGAGTGCACGGTGCTGATCCACAGGGCACTGCCCCCAAAACACCGAGATCTGGATGTTTGAGTAGCTTCTGATTCTGATTGTGAGACACTGCCCAGAACTGTGGAGTTCTGCGGCACCAACTACACTCAAACAAGTAAACAGCACTGAGGCAAGATCACCTGCAACAAAAACCACCCCCAGAGCCTCAAGGAAACGTTCCTCTGGAGATCCAAACTGCGCCGGTTGCTCCTCGGGGGCGTTCCCAGCAGCAGTGCGGCAAGTCCATGGAAAATATTTGCATATTGAGATCACCCCCTGCAGGCGAGAGAGCTCGGGAGGCACGTTCCTGCGAGCCAGGCTGGCTCAGGGGGCTGGGTGGGCGCTTCCCTCGGCGCTGCGGAGGGCGGGGAAGGCTTTGTGCAGAGCCAGGCGGCGGAACAGGTCCGAGTGAGCTGCTGCCACCTCTGCCAGAAACGTGAGAGCATCCGCTGGCAAGGGAAGCAGAGGGATCAGTGAGGAAAGGAAACTAACAGCATAAAACTATTTGCTGCTCATTCTTCCCTCGTCCCCGGGGAGTCTTTCACTTGCCAGTTTTTCTTCTCATAACCTTTCTCTCTCCTTCCCAACCCTGCAGCTCCCCCGTGGGATGTGATGGCTGAGGAGAGCGCAAGCGCTTAGGAAACACCCACTGCTGAAGGGTGAGGCTGGGAAGGTGGGAGTCAGAGCCACCTACGTGCTCTCTCAGCTCAGAAGATGCTGATGGCTGTGAGCAAAGGCAGAACTGCACCTATAAGGAAGCAGCTTCTGCATGGAAAGGAGGGAAAAATGTGGACAGAAGACATGACTCCTCCTCCAGCCTCACTGCAAGCCCAGGAGCTATCAGGCCTGCAACTGGTGGCAGATCGGGGGATTATTAGGTCGCAGTTCCTCTGTTCAGAGCTCCATCTAGCTGCACGTTGGTCGGCAGCCCAGCCAGACAGCTGGAAATGGGACACGGCACGGCTGGAAACGCGGGACAGACAGGAAGAGGATTCCTCAGCCCAGTTTGGCATTTTAGTGCCCAGGGAAGCTGTGGCTGCCCCACCCCTGGCAGTGTTGAAGGGCAGGTTGGATGGGGCTTGGAGTGACCTGGTCTAGTGGGAGGTGTCCCTGCCCATGTCAGAGGGTTGGAACTAGATGGTCTTTAAGGTCCCTCCAACCCAAACAAGTCTGGGATTCCATGCTTTGTTACACCAGATGCAGGATTCAGCTGTGCCCAGAGTGTTAGGGCCGCACGGGACACTAAGTCTCTGCCATCCTGAGAGGAGGAAGCATTACTGATAGAGAGGAAGAGGAGCAGGTGGTGTCAGGGCAGGATTTTAAGGCAGAGATCTTGGTTATGAGCTTTTAGATCTTTGTTACCAGTATTTTAGCAGGGCCTGTAGGGATAGGACAGAGGGTGATGGTTTAAACTGAGAGGGGAGATTCAGACTAGGTATAAGGAAGAAATTGTTTACACTGAGTGGTGAGACACTGGTCCAGGTTGCCCAGAGAGGTAGGAGATGCCCCATCCCTAGGAACATTCCAGGCCAGGTTGGATGGGGCCCTGAGCAACCTGATCTAGTTGAAGACGTCCCTGCTCACTGCAGGGGGTTGGACTAGATGGCCTTGAAATGTCCCTTCTCACCCAAACCATTCTTTAATTCCATGATTTCACAGCATCCCTGGCCCTTTCCAAGGGGTGACCACCCTCACTCCTGGCTCTCTTCTCTCTGCCCTTGCCCTGCAGCACGTGCCAGCACAGTTAGGGCCTGGCTGCACAATGCAAGACATCTGAACACCAGCCCTCAATTAGCCACTTAGCTAATTGCACCAAGTGAAATAAATCCCTGATGCTGAAAACATCCTGATTATTTGCCTACAACTAGTCCTCACCTTATGGAAAGGTCACAGGGTTGGGTGCCAGGTTTTCAAGGATTAGAAATGAGTCCAAAGGTGTCAGTTGACTGGAACAAACTGCAACTAAGGTCCTCAGTTTCTGGCTGCAGCCTGCTCCCTTCTGTCCCCAAACTGAACTAGAAAGAAACCCTCTCCACCTGCAGAACCCCACTGGGGTCCGCCCATACTCCAGCCCCCTGACACACCCCAGCCCTGTCACTCACGTGTGGAAGATACAGTGACCTCAGTGGGGAGGCTGCAACAGGGATCTCCATAGAGCAGCCTCGCATTGAACAGAAAGGTCTGGCTTTTACTTGACACGTTGTAATTAAAGATGAGCAGGTTACACAAGGAGTTCCTCTGCATGGTTCCTACGATCTGGTCTGAAAAGTGTTCCTGGAGGGACAAAGACAGGAAAGTTGAGAAGAAAGTCCACTGGTGTAGGACTGGGAGGTTGCTGGCAGCAGTGTCCCCAACCTCCACATCAGCTCTGTGTGCTCTGGGGTGGCTGGACATTCACCCACACCTTGTGTGAGGAAGGCTTAAATGAACAAATCATCAAGTCACAGACTGGTTTGGGTGGGAAGGGACCATCAAAGGCCGTATAGTCCAACCCCCCTGCAGTGACCAGGGACTTCTTCAACTTGATCAAGTTGCTCAGAACCACATTCAACCTGACCTGGAATATTTCCATGGATGGGGCATCTCCCACCCCTTTGAGCAACCTTGGTCAGTATCTCACCACCCTCAGCATAAACAATTTCTTCCTCATACCTAGTCAGAATCTTCCTCTTCTAGATTTCAAGCTACTACCCCTTGTTCTGTTGGGGCAATGGTTTTGCTCGTGCTCATGCACCCTCAAGCCACATCCTCCAAAGGCTTTTTACATCATTGTAACTATTTCAGCTGAGGGACCTCTGGAGAAGGGGACAGGTTTGTGTTTGGCAGTAAATTTTAAATGAGCAAGACATCCAAGTACGTGGCAATTGATGAAACGGGCAACTGACTTTATAGTCATATATACACATAATTTGTGAAGTTAGAATCACAGAATCATTTTGATTGGAGACTTTTCAGATCATCAGGTCTGACTGTTACCCCAGCACAGCCAAGGCCACCTCAGCACCACAGCTACACAGCTTTGAAATCCCTCCAGGGATGGGGACTCCACCACTGCCCTAGGCAGCCTGGGACAGGGCCTGACAACTGTTTCCAGGAAGAAATTGTTCCCAATATCCAATCTAAACCTCCCCTGGCACAACTTGAGGCCATTTCTTCTCATCCCATTCCTTGTTCCTTGGGAGAAGAGACCAACCCCTACCCTGGCTCCAACCTCCTTTCAGGCAGTTGCAGAGAGCAAGAAGGTCTCCCCTCAGCCTCCTTTTCTCCAGGCTGAACACCCCCAGTTCCCTCAGCTGCTCCTCATCACACTTGTGCTCCAGACCCTTCCCCAGCTCCATTGCCCCTCTCTGGACATGCTCCAGCCCCACAATGTCCTCCTGGTCGTGAAGGGCCCAAAACTGAACACAAGATGCATTCTAAAACCAGAGCTGTGAGTGTTCCACATAAAGAAAAGTGCCACGATTTCCCCCAGGACTTCAGAGCCTCATAACCCTTGGCAAACGAAAGGGAAGAGGACAGGTGAAGAGCAGTGCTGCAGCCACTGGTACCTGTAATTGGTCTGCCTGGTACCTCCTCCCCACGTAAGCGTTCAGGTGGTCAGACAGGACAGACAAGAAGCGCCTGATGTCCGTCTGCAAGTACTTCTTGGCAATCTGCTCCAGGGGGATGAAGATGGGGATGGAGTGGTGGTGAATCTGCACTTCTGGCTTGGTGAGCAGGTCCAAGTAGTAGAAATCCAAGTAGGTGCCCTCGTAAGCCGTGCTGATACAGAAACACACCCCCCGCTTGGTCCGCTTCCCGCTGATCCCTTGGGGCCAGAGAGAGGGTTTACTTGGGGTTGGTTTCACTCATCACCTCCAGGCAGCTCTGCTGGGGCATCACAGACCACAGGAGGGGCTGCATCCTCATACTATGCTAGCTCAGGGGGGATCTTCAGACATTACCTGTGAGATAGAAGAGCTTCAGCATGGTCTCAATGCTCTTTACCTTCCACTCTACAACAGCCCGAGCACTGGGCTGTGCTGGATCTGAGACAGCTCCTTCCTTCCCAGGTTGCTACAAGAGCCAGAAGAGAAGAGAGGTCAGAAATAGTTGACACAAAGGTGTCACTGCAGGGAACACAGTCAGGCTACAGAGATATAATAACCCAGCTCTGAGAAAAATGAGATGACATTTCAAGCAGAAGAGGGAAGAAATAAAGCAGCAGAAGGGAGAAGAAGCTCAATTAAAGGGTTAAAAAAATGTTGACACAACCTTCAATCAAGTAGACTCAGCAGTTCTGGACTACCTGGTACTGAGAACAGGGGTCAGCAGGACTATGTGTCACTTAAAAAAGGAAAATAAAAACAACAGCAGTTGACCCTGTATGAATAACCTCAGTAAATCCCCACTCTCTCTGCCCTTTCTCACCCCCTTTTGCTGCAGGTCCACTTTAGCCTGCAGCTGATCCCTCTGGAGTCTCAGCTCCTGCACTCTGGCTTTCAGCCTGGCCAGCTTCTCTTCTTGCTGCTCCTCTTCCTCTTGCTTCAGGGCTGCCTGGTGAGCCTGTCTCTCCAGCATTTCCAGGTGAGTGAACACCCCTGAGAGGAAAAGCACAGCAGGCTCAGATATCTAGGCAGTGACCAGGAAAGCTCTGTACTGCCCTACCCGAAACAAAGCAGGTCTGCACAGCAATCACAACAGCTTCCCAAAGGGGCAGGGGACAGGCAAACATCTGGTGAAGAAGCTTTTGGGAATTTTAAACAGCAAGGCTGTACACCAGGAGACCCTAAGCACTGGGGTGCCTCACACCAGCTGGCTTAGCTCCTGGAAAGCAGAGTGAGATGGAAGTGCACCAGGCCCAATCCCAAAAGATCTGCAATTCCCAGTTTTACTTCTAACCTTGTATCCAGAGCAGTGAAGTGACTTCCCTGAAGTCACCATACCCTAAATTGGCCATGAGTGACTCAAGACTCAGCAAGCCAGGGGGTCACTTATGTCCCCAAGCCTTCTAGGGTAGAATCAGAGAACTGTTTTGGTTGGAAAAGACCTCTAAGATCACCAAGTCCAACCATTACCCCAGCACTGCCAAGGCCACCACTAAACCATGTCCCTCAGCACCACATCTACACGGCTTTGAAATCCCTCCAGGGATGGGGACTCCACCACTGCCCTGGGCAGCCTGGGCCAGGGCCTGATAACTCTTTCCAAGAAGAAATTGTTCCCAATACCCAATCTAAACCTCCCCTGGTAGAACCTGAGGATGTTTCCTCTTGTTCCATCACTTGTTCCTTGGGAGAAGAGACTCACCTCCCCTCGAAAGCACATGGGGATAATCCCTGCCCTGGTCCTGCAGGCCACACTAGTGCTGCTACCAGCCAGGATGCTGTTGGCTTTCTTAGCCACCTAGGCACAGACTGGCTCATGTTCAGCCACTGTCAACCAACACCCCTAGGTTCTTTTCCCCCAAGCATTTTCCAGCCACTCCTTCCCAAGCCTGGAGCATTCCCTAGTGTTGGTGTGACCCAAGTGCAGTACCCAGACAGCTTACCACCTGGTGAGTATGTTTTCCTTTCCTCCATCTTCCCTCACCACTCTCCTGCAAGGAAGAAGGCAAACCTTGGCTCTTCCTGGCCAGGGTGCAGTGACAGCTCTTCCTCAGCAACCCTTCCTCTTCGTCCTGCTGCTGCAGCAGGACTCGCAGATGTGCCCAGGCCGGCTGAAATGACACCTTTTAACTCACCATGTTATATAAGCCAGGACTTCACATCAGCCCCACAAGGAAAGCCCTCAGGATTCAGTGGCCTCTGGCAAGCAGGACCAGCCTGAAGAGCCACCACAGTCCCGGGGGCACGGCAGGGAGGCACCCGGACCTCTCCCCACACAGATGGTGTGAGGACAGCGGGGACCCCCGGGGACCCTACTGAGGGGGGCAGGGACGAGGAGAGCTGGGGGTCCCTGCACCAGCAGGGCTGAAGGGGACAGGGACAGGGGGGAGCTGGGCAGGCAGGGCCTTCACACCAGCGAGGGCTGAGGGGGTCGAGAAGTTAGGGAGGTAGCGGGGGGTCTGTGCACTGGGGG